GACAGCCCAGCCTCTCGCACCCACGGCCCACACCTGCACTTTTCACTCCCTCTCTTTCCATTCGCACCTTCCATCACTGCGTTCTGACTTCCACCTGCTGCCACTCCCGGAAACGGCTTTTGCTGAAATTTCCAAGTAATAGTTTCTGATTGAAAAAATGCAGAGCAAATATTCCAGGGGTGTCCAAACTTTTGGCATCTCCGGGCCACACCAGAAGAAGAAGAGCTGTCTTGGGCCACACATTAAATACACTGAGACACCTAATCACACACACACACCTCAATGTTTTAAGTAAATTCATGATTTTGCATCGGGCTGCATTCATAGCCGTCCTGGACCACATGAGGCAAGCGGGCTGCAGGTTGGACGCCCCCGTGACACCTTGGTTCTCCTGTAGGACTGGACGCCTCTCACCATGCCCTTCGGCTGGGGCTCTGTTTCTGCAGCACTCCTCCTCTGGCCCGGCCCCTCCCACACTCTCAGGATCCTCCCTCAGTGACCCCCTCTCTTCTGCATCCTCCTCACCGGAGTTTCCCCACCTCCTGCCCTCTGCCCCTTGCCAGACCATCTCTAGCCCATCTGCTTCCTCACACTCTCCACCGCCTCACTGTATCTCACGGGGTTTGCTGTGAGAACCTCCTCACCTACCTTCACACTGAGAAACAGCAGCAAGGCCCTCTCTCTGAGTCGGAGAGGTGGGGGTTTTGAGGAAAGTGAGGACACTAGTGGTCAGCGGTAGAGAGGTCTCAGGGAGCTCAGTGTGTAGCCCTACCAGCCCTCTGGTCCACTGGCCTCCTCCCCCAGGGCTCAGGAATGGACCCAGACGATGGGACCACTGGGTTTGTCCCACATTGTGTGCTTGCCAGGGTGAACGTTATTGAAATAATTGGACCCTGAATCCCAAGCACAAGAATAGGAGGGTTGATGGGTAAGTATCTATTGGATACTTCCAAGAAGGAAGTATCCAATAGACCAGAGGCCAAATTATGATGAAAGTGCTACACACTTTTTTGAAGTCTCTTATGTCCTTGGCACTAATTGCTCCCTGCTTTGCACTATTTCTGTACCCAAGAGAGACTTCCATCTTCACAGAGAGCATATGTTATACTATAATCATCTGTTTAAGAGTCTGTTCCCCCTATTATACCAAGAACCCCAACATAAGACCTATGTCTTACTCTGCTTCATCTCTCTAGCACTCGCCTAGGACAAGACTTACTGAACTCAGGGACCTCACTCAGCATCTCCTGGTTGGTAAGAAGTGAAGCAAGGTCCATGAGAACGTGACTGTGGTCTGTGACCACAGTCCATCCTCTGCCCTGCCCCCTGTTGGTTCCCAATGGTTTGTGCATCATTTTTAAGATGTTAGTTCAGGGTTAGCACAAATAAAACTAAAGGATGACATTTAAACACACTAATGAAATTTTACATTGTTCTAATGTTAATGAATACTAAAGGAGCCAAAGTCCCTTTAGTAGGTTTGAATAAATTAAAGTCACTTAAAACAGGGCAATGCAAACTTCATCTAAATTTAATCAAGATAAAAATAAACATGTCTTCTAGGGAGTTAAAAAAGCTTTGACAAATGTTTCATTAATGAAATAGCTGCAAAAATCTTTGATTGTCAGCTCCTGGAGGGCAGGAAGGGTGTTGACTGAGTTGATCTCATCTATCTACTAACCAGCACTAGAGAATGCAGCATTCACCAAAGCATCAAGAAAACACTAAAGCGCTAAATACTGCTTTTGGGTTAATGCAGTGGCATTTGTCTTATTTTTATAGGTTTAAAGCACTAATTTTGTGATTAGCTTACCATTATCCTGCTGGGTTTTTCTGACAAAAGTGAAAAGGTAAGTTGTTCTGCAAGATGAACTCATGACTAATTGTCACACACAGAAAGAGGACCTTTGTCATACTTGACAATACCTTAAAGGGGACAGCATAGCTCTTAAAGAACAACCGGAGGGTATTTCATGCGTATTTTATCTCATCATTGTGAATTTCAAGTAGAAACGACGTGGATCATTTGTGAATTGGGTCACAGTGTCAAATGCCACAGGAGCCTGTAGAATATGACCACCACTAACATCCCAAACCGAATGCTAATGGGCCCACCCATGCAGCCTGCTTTTCTGAATTCATCTCTGCTTGTCTCATTTTAAAAACCACGGAAAGGTTTTCAAGGCGTCCTGACCTCACAATGGACAGAGAAAGGGAAGGGGGTTTGTGGAGAGATTGAGCACCCTGGAAATTATGGGTCTCTAAAGAAACATTCATTCTGTGTTCTGTGGCACAAAAAAATAAGGTCTAAAATCCACATTCTAAAATCCTTAGTACCTCTACCTCAGGCAAACCTTGCAAAATACCAGAAGAATACCAATGACCCAATCCCCATCAATTAAACTGTAAATACTTGATTATTTGGCAAAGGATAAGGAATAGCCTCAAACATTTTCATCTGTTCGAATAAATCAGAGTAACACTTCAAAATCAGTGATAGTCAGGGTGAAATATACCTGTCTTTTTTTTAATGGGCTATTAGCAAATCTAGTCACCCCTCCCTATCCATGGTTAGATTCACAATTGATTTATTATAAGCTGGGCTTAAGGAAAGAGGCAGACGACTGAAGGTATTAGAAATGTCACTGGTGATTTCCTCCTCTTTGCAATTTAAGGTTTTGTACTGTATACAGGGAAGTGAGTTTTTCATCTCAAGTACACAGTAGGGAGAAACAAACCTGAGGAAATGTTGATTGTTTTCATTAAGTATGGTTAACACATGCAGCATGCATTAGTGCAAAAGAAGAACAAAGAAAATGTATTTCCTTTCACGGTAGGGAGAAAACAGTGATACAGCAATAAGATCTGTAATAAGTTGATACATCTAATAAAATGGAAAAGGAAATACAGAGGCCGTATTGAAAGAGAAGTCAGCTTGACAGACCCAGCCAGTTTAAAATAAGCTTCTGTGCTTTCTCAAGGCCCCACTAAAGAAGGTATTAAGTAGTCATATCTTTAATAAAACTATATAAGGGAAACTCCAGTAGCTTTTTAAAAGCTAGTTTTATAACCAAAGAATAAGAAATATTTATGAGGATTTCATACAGAATTTAGAAAATGTTGTTAATGTAAGAATGCAGTACATTAACAACATATGGAAACTAAATGAGTCAATGGAAGGAATAGTAATTGGAGGAAAATATGAATTACATTGAGTTCATAAATCCATCATTGTTTTGTTATCCAAGTCAAGAAGAGATCTGTTTCTTCTATTAGCAAAGACTTACTTATAGTCAAGTTTGAAGTTTCCTCAGCAAAACTAAGGGGATATAGTCCTGATGATTATTTACTAAACTGTTGGAATAGAAGACAATTAAACAGAAGGGGGTAAGTCACCCGATGAAGCTTTTATTTAACTATACCTATATATACACTAACACACACACTTATATTGATGCTTTTTTGGTATACAGGACCAGTACTTGTTGGGTCCTCTTCCTTAGTCTTAATTTCTCAGCCTCAGTCATTCAGGCACTTAAGCCCTGACATGAGCTTGGTTTTTCAATGAAAATCAACAAGCTGCCAGTAATGGAGGCACTACCCAGGAAAAGCAAGACTGTGGCTTTCTCCCTGGTTATTGAGGAGGGTAAAATGAGCAGTGCCCAAACAAGTTTGGTGTAAATGCAAGGGAGGATGCTGTCAGAGCAGAAGTGAAATGACTGGGGAAGAGACTGAGGGAGCTGCAAAGTCTCATGGGTGGACCTAACAAGGACTGTTTCTTTCAGATACAGATGCCTCCGAGTTTCTTAGTACAGCAGGTCCTCAAATAATGCCATTCTGTTCACTCTCATTTTGTTAGAACGTTAATGAGATGTGTATACCAATTAGCCTGTGGTAAAATTGCTTTCCTTATATGTCATTTCACTTAAAGTCACGGAAAATATTGATGACATTAATTGAGGGCTTACAGTATTTATCTGATTTTACTCTCTGTGTTTGATGGGGAAATTCAATAAGTTTTATTTGAGTCACAGAATACTCCAAACAAAAGTATCCTCCAAATAAAAGAAGATACAACTTTCTTCCCTAATAGGCAAACCTTTTTAAAGACGAGCATTTTAGGTCTTTTCAATGACAGAACTAGAAGCACAGGTTGCTAATGTGATGGTGATACACATGCCTCCCAGACTCCTCTGGACAAGTGAAAAGGCAGCGACGAGAAGCATGAGGAAGCGTGTGGGTCCTGGTGAAACCATACCAGCAGCGAGGGAGTGAATGCTGAGGCTGGGGTCATGGGAACATGGAGTGCACTATACTAGTTGCTCTACTCTTTCTGTAATCAAAAGGCTTTTTTTCCCAAAACAATGAATGAAAAGAAAAAGGAAACTAAAATAACAATGCTCTTAAACGATCAGGAAGAAGGGAAGACTAAATAGGAATGAGGGATTAGGATGGCATAACTTATTACACAGATATACGATATGTTATTTTAGTCAGTAGTTTCAATCCCTTCCATCAGTGCAGAGCGACCCTCTCACCTGGATAGACACCCACTGCTATACCGAGTACAATGGATTCACCGGGCTGTCATTTCACCTCCCCCGACTTTAATGAAGACTTCTAATCAGCCAGCTCAGGGTAAAGTCAAAAGCCAAGAACCTTGATAAACCACTGGTGTGCACTACAATCATGAATATCAAAAGCCAACCATCTAAACAACAGGTCTGGTCAAAAAAGAGGTGTGATGGGCCATTAATTTCCATCTTGCATTTTTACTCCACGAATCACTCAGGAAGTCACAGGAAGGTCAATTACTTCCCATTACATTGCTCTATGTAAAGCAGGTGCTCAAGAACTTCATGTTAACTAGCTACAATGGTGGCCTTGGCCCATTCATTCAGTTACGCATGGCCACACCGCCAAAGCTTGATCTTTAAACTTGCCCCACAAATTTAAAATGAAGGTATGTTTTGATAAAGCCCACATAAGGCATTTTCTACCTGATATCCACAGCAGGCCATCCGCCACAGAGCCGGCGTGACATGACAGGGACCGATCAAAGGACTGCACAAAAGCCCATTTGTTCTTCTTGGGGCAATACCGCTCAACTGTCGGCAGAACCTGGCGCAGTTCATTTCTGCCCCCGACCGCATAGAGGTACTCATCCATGGCGCCCAGCACAAAGTGCTCCCGGCAGTTTTTCATGGGTGCTATCTCTGCCCAGGAATTACTGCGGGGGTCGTAGCGACAGGCAGTCCTCACAGCACACGTCCGGCCACTGGCGTGCTCCACTTCCCCTCCTGCCACAAACAGAAAGTCCCCCATGACCGCCACACAGTGGTGGCTCCTTCCCACGGGCATGGGGGTCAGCTCACTCCAGTTGGCGATGGCGGCGATGAGAGCATTCTCCTGGTCCACGGGATTGAAGTAGCGGAGTTCCTTGACTTTACAGACCTCCCGCTTCTTCCCACCGATGATGTAGAGAGTGTCTGACTGGAACCTGGGTTTGGTCCTGCGAGTCTGCCACACGGGCTGGGCGTAGAGGCTCTGGTGGTATTCCAGGGCCTCATTCACCAGAGCTGTTGCTGCCTCGCTTGCCTGGACCAGAGGGTGGGACAGGGCAACTGTGTGGAGAGTATCCACATCCATCAGGCCGAAGCGGATGTACTGCAGAAGCTCGTCCATGTGCTGGTAATGGCAGTTGTGTTCCAGCCACCTGACGGCTAGCTGAAACAGAGGGAGGCGAGATGAGAGGACAAAGCAAGGGCAAGGAGCAGAGCCTGAGCAACGGCCTGTAGGAGGTCACTGCGTATTCTTTCAGACACTTAATGATGCACGTTTTCTTACAAATAGAAATATATTTGGATACCTGCTGAGGACGTTTTTTTCCTTCATTAGCCAAAAATTTTTTAAAAACATATTGTTGTAGGCGTTAGAAGCAATGTTAAGCAACAATATTGGGGACCTTAAGGTATCACTTGGAGTGAACAAAGGGCACTTTTCACAGAGTAAAAACACTGTTGCAAACAGCCCGTTTGTCCCCTCATGTCCCGGCATAGGAGACCTGGCACGCCCTACCCCAGGAAACGCCAGCGGTAAGTGGCGTCACCACAGCTCTAGCAATCCGTGTCAGCCCGTGAGTCAAGGTGCTGCATCAATACAAGTAATGTATGGAAACATGCGATCATCTGAACCCCCAGGGCATACTGGGGGGAGAATCAATATGACACTCGCAGAATGATTTAGAAAGGGAAAGGACTTTTTCCCCCTGTCCCTTTGGTAAGTATATCAGTCAGGAAGCAAAAGAAGAAAAAGAAAGACTGCAATCTATCAACTTAGTTTTCCCTCAATTAGTTTTCATCTTCAAGACAGTTGTCATGCGCCCAAGTAAGATACTGGCAGTTGGTTAGCGCCTTTTTCACAGAAAACAGGATGCAGAAGAAATGATCTCTGTACTACAAACAAAATAGCACACTGTAATCCAAATCTTTTTGTTTATGTCTAGATCTCCTTCAGGAAGAAAAGGAATAAGAAATTTGGGCTACAGATAAAGAGAATTTCTTTAACAAAAGTAGGTGTGTTAAGTAAATAATAATAAAACTGAACAACAGTTTAAAAATATCAACAAAAAAACTTATTCATGTCATGGAACACCTGAAGGAACTTAATTAATGTGACTTAGTAATTAGGTTTGGCAAACTTTCCCACACTAGCACGAAGAAGTATCCAGTAAATATTTCCAGTCAACATATTTGACGTGTGCTCTTAGCACTCAATCTCCTAGACAATCTCCTAGACAATATAAGTGTGGACTTGAAGAAATGGCATGAAAAAGTGAAGCAATGAATTAGAATGCCAAATTATTTGATTTGATTTGATTTTACTTGCTTTCTGTCCTGGTGAAAAGAAAGGATCACTAAACTCTGCAAAGCACGAGATGATTTCAGACCTTCAGAGCTTCTGTATCTATTTGACAAATGGCTCCAAAAGGCAACATAGATTCAGGGCTTATCATTTTAGCTTTCTGAATGAAGAAAACATAGGGAGTGAATTCACTTCCAGTACTCACTGAATTGCATCTTTTAATGAATTACATGGTTTGGAGAAGTGACAGAAGAGTGTCCCTGGATGCAGGTAGCCTGCCAGTGACAAGGGGGTAGACATGGAGGGCAGATGAGTGACTCTCTCTAGCTGTATGTCTAGAAACTGGAACTTTTAATTTAAGTAAGGTAGAAACCTCATGAAAAATATCCGGGTATGGCAACATCAGCAATAATCAAAGAAACTTCAGAAGAAAAATGTCACTCATTAGCCCCCAGCTCTCTGCCACATGTGGGGAGTTCCCACAGGCAACACCTGGTTTTTCTCCACCATAATTTTAGAAGTTTCTAGGGATGGGGTTCCAGTCATTTCCCTGGGAAGAAATTCAACAACCTCATAAATGATTTTCCATTCTTTGCTCACTGCGCCTTCAAAAGTTGTTAGGGATGAAGTCATCCCACTCAAGGTAATTTCTCATGCACCAGGTAAAAGTTTCTAAAATTAATCTTTAATAGTGCTCCTAATTTAACAGACTAATTCCAGCTGATATGCTTTGCTTTATAACAAATTTCTTACATCCTAATGTTTCTGCATCCTTCACATGGGTACTCCCGGAAACAGCACTGGAGAACCACTAGATAAATATCCACGTCTGCATAGTCCCTTTTTACAGCCTAGTGCTGCCCATCTAATTATTTTTCTCCTTCCTCATAAATCAGTTCTCCCTACACCACAATCAATCTTCTAGCCCATCTCTTAGCACCCTCCAGTTTATCTTTATCTTCCTAGCAAATACTATCACATACTGTGTGAGAAGTGCACCAGACACAAGTAGGCTCTCTGCCTTTAAGAAAATCTCTGACAAACCACTGGCGGTGGGAAAGTGACCACAGTGCTCCGTAATGACCAAACCCTAGCTTTCTGTCCACCATCACCCCCACGTCACACGCCCACAGATGTCGGGATGCTTTCCATGCTCCTCAGATACTCTGTACAAAAACATGCTTTGTATACGCACATTTAGTCTGCATGTTCTGGGATAGCTTTTTATCTTATTTCTTGCCAATATTTATTTCTAAGTTCTCACAGATTTCATATAAATTTTCATACTTTATCACTTACAAATATTTTCAGACAACAGAAGTCATTTCTACATGGGTTTTTCTTTTCTTCATATCAAAAGTAAATATAATTATAATGAACTACTTATTCTGTCACCAATTTCCAACCAATTTCACCTGGACACAGCATTATTTGTAAATTTAAATCCAGCACTTCTCAAACCTAAATTGCACACAAATTACCTGGGTTTTCTGGTCGAAATGCAGATTCTGACTAAAGAGGTGTCAGAGGAGAACTGGAGGTCTGCACTTCTGACCGCCTCCCGGGTGAGGTGTGCGGTGCTGGGCCGCTGGGCCACAGGCCACACTGAACGGGAGGGTTTAGACAATTTCCCTCCCATTCACAAAATGTATTAGAGTGATTGTTGTTTCAAATTTAAGAAGGTTTAAATCAAATGGAATCTAAGTAGGATGCTTTAGTAAAGATATAGAATACTTGCAGCTTGATATATAGTAAGATATGGGTAAGATCTTACTATGGGTAAGACCGTGTTATTTTGAAACCTCAGTTCTAAAAGGTCTATAAATCCACAGCTGATTGTGATAGCATACAGTAAATCATATAAACACTCTGTGCGGTTTTGCTTTTGCAGTAACAGACAAATAACTATAATAGTGTTATTGCACTGTTCCCACTTTCATAAAAGAGGAAAATAAACACTGAAACTATGGGTTGCTCTTATTTATCTAAATAATGAAAAGAGCTGGCCAAAGAATTAAAACAATGGGCCACCTCAAAATCACTTCTGCATCATAATCTGCACCCTGGCACTATTCACTGCCACACTGAATTATAGGCAAGGTGGTGGAGGGAGTCCGGAAGCCCATTTAAAGGGTATAGAGACTACCATAAGCAGAAGGCTGATTCATATTAGGGCATCATGGAACCCAAAGACCACAGTTGGCTGCGCAGTGTATAAAATTTTGATGCTTATATTTAAAAGTGGTTATTTTGGGAACTGGTGGCTTTTAATAACACTACACTGAGATACCATAACTCAGGGAAGGCTCAAATCCTACTTTATCTTGTGTATTCCGGCATGCTGACATCCTCATCACCCTGAACTCTAGCATGTATTGACTGGGAGGGAAATGAAGCATGCATTGAGAGTCTTATCTCCCGGATTTGGGTGATGAAGCCAGCAAGAGTGGAAAAGAAACCAAGGACTCAGTGTGGGAGGGCACAGCAAAGAGTACTTAGGAAACATGGCCATTAGGCAGGATGTTTCCTAAATCATCTGAAACACAGGAGACTGTCATCTCCAAGGACTACGGGACATCTCCCAAGCACCCTGCCTGACCTGGTCTGGTTCATCTCACCCTCATGGGAAACCTGTTACTGCCTGAAAGAAGCATTTGCTGCAGCTTATTCCAGCATTATCTCATTCTCAGAACCTTGATAAGAAGGGCAGCTGGCACATAGTAGGCTATAAATATTGGTTGAATAAATGGAAAATTCTTCACAAATATTCTTAGGCTAGTCCTCATATTTCTTTGGAACACACAAGATCGATTCTTATATATTTTATCTATCTATCACAGCCTTCAGTTCCCTATTTTTTTACCCCATCTTTGCAGCTTCCCTATATAAAGCCCTTAGAGGCTCTCAAGACCCCACACTGTGGCGTGCAGTATACTGGACTTAGTTATAAAAGACTCCTGTTTTACTCCCGCAAGTGATTGGTGCTGGCCACCTCTGCTTGAGGTTCTTGGCAACACAATGAACACTGCAGTTGTTTAAAGCCCTCAAATAAATAATAAAGTACTAGAGCAAGAAGAAACTTTAGAGTACATTTGGTTCAAGCTTCTCAATTTCACAAACAGAAATCAAATGCAGGTAAGTTATCTGACTTACCCCACATCGTGCAGCAAATGGGTGGCAAGGTTGGAACTAGAACTCCTATTTAAATTATACAATGTGTTTTTCTATTGTATAGCATCATTATTATTTTTCTATCAATATTTACTTTAAGGCAAAATCTGGGAAAATGCACTCAAGTGCAAACATATCTTCTGTAGTGTTCAAATTAAAAAAATGTTTTTTAAAAAAGGATTGTAATATTTTTAATAAGTTTCATTTATAGATTACTTGTACATAAAAGGCAGGAACTAAATGGTACCAATTAAAAAAGAAGTATGTAGAGTAAAGAGTTTCCAATGTGTCTTGAATTACTCTTTCACATTTTATGAGAATTTATATGAGGTCTGTTCAGAAAAATTCCAGCCACTGTTAATATAATGAGAACAGTTTGCACGACATCAATGTAACCTGGCAGCCAAGGAGAATGGACTGGAATGTGCAGGAGTAAACAATAATGACTTCACTGTACTAGTCAGTGGGGGCAGTAGATGCCATTGAGTGAACATGTGTACTGTGTGGTCACATTCAAAATGACTGAGTAGAGCAATGCATCTGCATCAGATTTTGCATCAAGCTTGAACATTCCTCCATGGAAACTATTTGGATGATTCAGAAGGCCGCAGTTATGGGCAACTGGTAATTGGCAGCTTTATAATGAGTTCACGCATCATGTCTTGTGCAGTTTTTTGGCAAAACATCAAATC